ATATAGACAGCTGATACAACCACACAGACAGACACCCAGACGAACACAGGCACATATAAAGACAAACACACACACAAAGATACAAATAAAAAGACAGATACAAGCACACACAGACAAACAGTGGTACACAGGCACATAAAGACACACACACAAACACACACAGACAAATACACACAATATAGACCGACAGATGTGCACAGACACACAAACGCCAAGGCAAACATGCACACACTCACTCACTCTCACTTCCTCCACAAATGGCTGGGTGTTTTTTGGTCAGTCACATGACTGGTGATCCTGCTGTGATTGGTGGACACCTCTTGTGGCTTGTCTCGCTTTTCAGTGTCATTTTCATGGGGCTTTTGTCCATTTTTCTTTACCTGTCACACAGACGCCTGTTAATTAAGATTTTAACTGTATTTCTACTTGGTAAACGGATTCACTGGCATAAGAGAGAGAGAGAGTGTGTGTGTGTGTGTGTGTGTGTGTGTGTGTGTGTGTGTGTGTGTGTGTGTGTGTGTATTAGGGTTTGGAAATAAGCTACAGATGTTTCCTCTCTGCATTGGATATGGGGGAAAAACAGCTTCCTGTTAAAGCAGGGAGGGGGTGATAACTGAACTGAAAAAGACTCTGTGTGTTTAGTCCACTCTCACATAACAGGAAGTTCCTCTCCTAGCGTTAGCGTGATGCCTTAGCGGAGACTACAGGAGTATTTGTTTAGTGAAGCACTGAGACTGCAGGGACTGATTTGACTGTGGAGAAACTGCTGAGAAATGAACAGATCTTACACTGGCCAAAAGAAATCAAATAATGATATGTTTAGTATTGTGAGCTTTCAAAGGGAAAACTGGTCATGCAGGGTTCATTATGTCAAAAGAATTACAACTGATTAAATAATAATTATAATAATAATAACAATAATAACAAATAAATAATAATAATAATAATAATAATAATAATAGTAAATAAAATACAATAATAATAATAATAATAATAATAAAATTATTATTATTATTATTAATAATAAATAAATAAATACATATTAATAATACATTAATAAATAATAATACATTAATAAATAATATTAATAATAAAAATATAGCTTATTGAAATATAAACAAATATCAATATTATCAATATATTGTAAATATACTGCTATAATTTTAACAGTAAATGTAATTGAAAATAATGATAATAAATATATATAAGGAAAATTATTAATTATGAATATTTAGTGCATATATATTTTTATTAATATATACTTTTATTAGTAATAAAATGTGTAAAACTGGTCAATTTAATTTAATAATTGTATAAAATAGATGATAACTGATGATACATAATGACTAGCAACAAAATAATACTAAACACTGAAATATACAAATAACAGCATTAATCTTAATCTGGTATACACGGTTAATAATACAATATTTAAAAAAAAAAGAGTCAAATGAAATAACAGCAGTAATAATGGAAAACACATATTGAAATGAAAAAAAAAATATTTATTATTATTAATTACGATATATAGTATTTTAATACGTAATTACTAATAAATGTAAACATTTAACCTTTAATATATTTTATGAATTGTTAATAAAATATTTGTAAAAATTGTCAAATGCACTAACAACAATAATATTGGAAAAATAAAAATTGAAATGAAAAATAAATGCAATAAATAATAATTATTATTAATATTAATATATTATTTTTTTTACATGTAATTAACTACTAATAAACGTAAAACATTTACTCTTGAATATTTTGCATCAATTGTTGATAATAAGATATTTTTAAAACAGTAAAATGAAATAACAACAGTAATAATGGAAAAAGAAATAATGAAATGAAATAACATGCAATATATTATTATTCATTTCAAAATATGTAAACATTTAACCTTTAATATATTGTTTGACTTGTTAATGAAATATTTCTTTTTAAAGCAGTCAATTAGAATGGAAAAAGAAATCAGGAAAAAAATAAATAAATGCAATATTTATTGTTAATTTTAATTCCAATATAAGATTTTTAATATGTAATTAATAATAAACAATTTTACATAAACTATTTTATCTTTTACGAATAAATAAATAAATAAATGAACTAAAAGAACACACTGTTATATATATATATAATGTGCAGACATAACGTTAAAACCCAAATAAAATGAAATATTGATTTGCTCAATGCTCATTTCATGCATTTACAGAACTATCCAGCATGTGTCACATCATCACCTTAACGCTGCGTTTTCTTTCTCCCTCAGTTCCCCTCCCTGCTGAACGGCCCACTTCCAGTTCCCCTGCCAAACCTGGACTCTCCTTCATCCTCCTCCTCCTCCTCATCATCCTCTTCCTCTCTCCTCTTGTCCTCCAGCGGGCAGAAATCCTGATTCCTGCACACACAAACACACACACACACATACAAACACAGACTTGTTCCTATATCCCAGTGGGGACTCTCACAGACCTAATGATGTTTATGTTTATGACTA